AGTCCCATTACCTTCAGAAAGATGGCAGGAAGTTTCAAGGGGTTCCGAGACAATATCAGGCATAACATTTGATAACGGCACAAAAACATTTGTAAACAAACTTTTTAAGGCCCTTTACACGCGAACCAAAGTACGCCCACGCAAACCAATACCACTTTCGGAAAGGTGATAGTTGCTCCTATCCGATGATATTCTTGGTTTGCGTGGGCGTACTTTGGTTCGCGTGTAAAGGGCCTTAGAAAGTTTGTTTACAAATGCTTTTGGGCCGTTATCAAATGTTATGCCTGATATGAGATATTTCGAAAACTTCAGAAACATTGTAGAGTTTTCAGGGGAGTTTAATGAATATCAGAAAAAATTCTAGAATATTAGAAAATATAGGCAACTTCAAAGAAGTGCCAACAACTTCAGGGAAGTCCAGAAAAAATCAGGTAAAACAAAAGATCTTGAGAACTTCCCAGAAGACCAGAAAACTCCAAGAAAGCTCCAAAAACTTCGTAGAAGTTCAGAAAACGTTAGGAAATATCCAAGAACTTCAGGGAAACTCCAAGAACTTCTGGAAAGTTTAATGAATATTAGAAAAATACATGAGTATTTTAAGTAGAACTGTCAGGGAAATTTCATGATTTGGTGGAACCACAGGGAAGATCATTACACTGCTATTAATTCAAGGAAAATTGCGGAAAATTCTGAGAGGTTAGAAATTTTCTAAAAACTCAAGAGAACTTCGGACAGGCTTAGAAAAGTTCAGAAATATTTTGAGAACCTGACAGAAGTTCAGGAATTTTCAATTATTTTTCTATTAAATTTTTCTATAAAATTCAGGACAATACCAAGAGTTTCAGGAGAATTTGAAGAATTTGAGAGAAGTTCCGAGCACTTCAAGGAAGATCAGATCCCCCGGGGAAGTTCTATTGACTTCAAAGAAATTACAACAAAATTGAAGAAGTTTCGAGAACTTTTTGTAAATTGTTAAAGTATCAGGAACTTCCTAGAGTTCCAGAACAATTTCGTGGACTGTGGAAAAGATCCATGATTAGCAAGAAAATTTAGAGAACTTTAGGGAAGTCCAGAGAACTTCAGGGAACTACAATGATTTTAAGGGAAGCTCCGTGAATATCAGGGAAGGTTTGATAACATTGAAAGAGCTGTTTTATTAACTCCAGGAAACTTTCAGTTAGCTACCAGATGTCATTAGATCATCCTTTTCCATAAATCGGTTGACGGCAGGGCCCAACAAAGCCCCTTTCAATCGAAAATTGTCAAGCGACGACGAAGCTGTCAACCATCACTTTCAATTGAAAGCCATTCTGTTTTCTTTTCGAGTAGATCCTTTTCAACATCAACAGGAACCACTTTGGATCAGTTTTCATGATGTTTGTTTTGGCTTGATTCGTGTTCATTTCGTCTTCCGTTGTCAAATGAACTTTTTTTCGCATTGAAGGGCAGCTGTTCGATCCAAATTTGCGCAGTTTTTCTAACTTTTGTTGATTGTTCACTAAGCTCATTCAAGCACATGCGCATAGGCGTAGCCAGAGGGGGGCAGAGGGGCAACTCGCCCCCCTAAACTCAGCAACACAAAGGCTTTCGGGGATTGCATGTGGCCAAATTTTCCAAACTATTTTTTTTTCGCCCCTCCCTAGCTCGAAACCTAGCTATGCCCTTGTCTGTGCACATGGATTTCAAATTTATTATTGTCGGGTGGTTTGTTTACCCATAAATATGGATATTTTTGGAATCGCAGGCCAGAAATCAATGACCGACGCCATCTTTAAATCCAAGATGGCGGAATCCAATTTCAGATAAATCAGGAAATACTGACATCAAAATGGGTATTTTTGAAATCGGGATGACGTCTGAAGATCAAAAATTTATATGCGACGCCATTTTAAAATCCAAGATGACGACTTTCAGTCTAAAAAAGAGGGAAATACTGTCAAATACCCGTTAATATAGGTTAATACCTTTCAAATCGGGATGACGTCAAGATACCGGAAATCAATGACAGAAGCCATTTTGAAATCTAAGATGGCGGTTTCCAATTTCAGAAAAAAAAGGAGAAATGCTGTCAAATACCCATCAATATGGGTATTTTTGGAATCCGGATGACGTCTAGAGGTCTGAAAACAATGACCGACGCCATTTTGAAATCCAAGCTGGTGGCTTCCGATTTCAGAAAAAGAGGGAAATACTGTCAAATGCCCATCAATATGGATATTTTTTAATCGAGGTGACGTTTAGAGGCCGGAAATCGATATCCAACGGCATTTTGAGACCCAAGATGGCAGATTCCGATATCAGAAAAAGTGGGAAATACTTATGCCGACCCATCAATATGGGTATTTTTGGAATCGGGGTGACCTCTAGAGATTGTAAATAGATATGCGACGCCATTTTGAAATCCATGTAGGTGGCTTCCGGTTCAAGAAAATGAGGGAAATGCTGTCAAATACTGATCAATATGGGTAGTTTTGGAATCGGTATGAAATCTAGAAGCTGAAAATCGATATCGGACGCCATTTTGAAATCCAAGATGGCGGCTTCCGATGAAATAAAAAAGTGGAAAATACTGTCAAATACTCATCAATATTGGTATTTTTTGGAATTGACATGTCATGTAGTGATGTGATGTGAATGGAACCCACCATCAGTGCAAGGATTACCAATGTCTGCAGATACTTTACCGGTTGTAAAGTTCTGCCTGATGGTTTGTTGCAGCAGGTTGAATCAGCTTTATTGAAGACCTTTGGAAGACAAAACGACCAGATAGCCATCTGTAATCACGTGACAATTGACATGCCATGTAGAGGCCGAAAATCGACGTCTGACGCCATTTTGAAAACCATGATGGCGGCTTCCGATTTAAGGGAAAGTAGGAAATACTGTCAAATACCCATTAATATAGGTATTCTTGGAATCGGGATGACGTCTAGAGGCCGGAAATCGATGTCTGACGTCATCTGAAATCTAAGATGGTGGCTTCCGATTTCAGAAAAAAGTAAGAAATACTGTCAAATACTTATCAATATGGGTTTTTTTAATCGGAGTGACTAGAGATTGGAAAAAAGATATGCGACGCCATTTTGAAATCCAAGATGGTGGCTCACAGTTTAGGAAAAATTGGGAAATGCTGTCAAATATCCTACAACAAGGGTCCACCACCATTTTGAAATTATTGAAATTTATAAAACAATGGGAAATTCTATCATATATCCATACATACGTTTTTTGTGAAATCAAAGACGGCGGCCTCCGATTTGAGAAAAATTGTCAAATGCCCTAACATATGGGAATTTTCAGACCGGGGATGACGCGTAGATGCCGAAAACCGATGTCAGATGCCATATTTAAATCCAAGATGGCAACTTCTGGTTTCATAAAAAGTTATAAATACTATTAAATACCCATCAATGTGGGCATTTTCGAAATCCCAGCAACGTCTAGAGGCCAGAAACCGATGTTTGACGCCATTTTAAAATCTAAGATCGCGACTTTTGTTCAAAAATAGTGTGAAATACTGTCCAATACCGATCAACGTGGGTATTTTTGGAATCGGAGTGACATCTAAAGGCCAGAAATTCAAAATGGTAGCTTTAGATTTTAGAAAAAGTGTCAAATACCCTACAAATGGCGTCGAATGTCGATTTTCGGCATCCACGCGTCGTCCTCGTTCCGAAAATACTCACATTGTAGGGTATTTGATACTTTTCCTTACCCCGATGGCCACTATCATGGGTTCCAGAATGGCCTTGTAAATTTATTTTCGTTCAATATAAAATAACATTTATTACTACATATAATCCGGATGCTATCCCTATCGGCAATCGATATTGTGCAGTTAATATCCGGATACTATATATAATGAGCCCCGAATTGAAGTGAAAGTGGAAACAATTAAGGAACCAGTTTTCGAGTCATTCATTGCGGCAATTGAAACAAGTCTTTGCTTCAAATTAAATGAACTGATGCACTTGACGTACTAAACAAGCGATAGTCAAGTCATGCTTGACAGGAAGAATGTTCATCGTGACTCAATAAGAATGATTTACACTAAAATGATATTGCTCAAAATGAAGCGGTTCTGCGAAGAGCTCATTTTCTTTACATTGTTTCGAAAATGCAGGACCCTGGTTGACGGTACTCTATCTTATCTGAAAAGATATCCTTTTTAAAGAACTGATGTTAAAAAAAAATAAAATCGAGAGTTGAGCACGAAGCAAATGACAGAACTCTATTATAATTCAAAGAAGAAGACAAAATACATTGCGCCGAAACGCCGGAGAGTAGAAAACCTCTGTTTTCGTATCGAATGAATTCAGTCTCTCAAACCAATAAAACGAAAAATATGAAGCTAACGCGTAAGGTCAATTAGGTTGAACCTCAAGATAGTTGAACTTAACCTATAAACGTTGCTTATCATATTTCTATTTTGGAACCTGTGAAAAGCACTGTGAGTTTATAAGCTAACAAGACAAACATCTTTCTCGAATCGCTGGCTTAAAACGCAACGCTTCAAATTATCCAGATTGAAAGCAGAAATCTTGAATCCCACCGCTCAATATCTATGCAGTAATAAGTTGGTGGCAGAAAAGTAAAGACCAATAATTGTCTCCTTCTGTACATAGCTAGGATAAATACCCAACTCGCACATCAAAATTACCAAAAGAAGAAAACACCGATTCTCGCCAAAATTGCACTAACCCACATTCCTCGCAAAAGTGAGACGTCTTACATAAAACAAGTCTTTAATAACCCAGAGAGCCAACCACCAACAACCAACAATTGACCACCAGCACACAAGTAGTCGTGTACCCTCCCATCAACGCTCCACAATGGCTCTTGTTTATCTCACACTCTCAGTCTGAACAACGCCAATCTAGATCACAACTTCACTACAGACCCACGTTCGAACCACAAAAAGTAAACAACCCCCGAAACTGTTATGACGACCCCACCCCAAACAAAAAATTAAAAATCGCTCGCCGCAGCTCGCCACTTACCGGAAACATTGTTGCGTCTTTCTAATTGCTGCTTGGTGTAATTTTGCTGCCTGCCTATGACTGGCCGCTCCTGCTGCTGCTACTCCTCCTCCTCCTGCTACTTCTACTCCTCCGCTACCTTCCGCGTCGTCGCACTTCTTTCTATTGGATAAACAGTTTTTCGTCGTTACCACTTGGCTAAACACTGCACAAATAACTGGCACACACTCCTCTTGCTGTCTTGGGTTTTGGGCGCGGACCTTTTACGACTGTTCGATCATCAAAAGGGCCGGATGTGCATTCCCTTCGGCCAAAAGAACTCTAGTATATTCTTCTGTCAATCACAACCAGGCTGGTGGTGGGTGGCACTTGAAATTCTAATCACGCCTTTCGACGGTCCGGTCCAGTCGCAACGACGACGACGACGACGACGGTGATTGACTGCAACGGAAATGGAGAAGGTAAAATATTGATTATTAATAGAAAATTGTGTAGTTGTTGTTGTTGTTGTTGAGTTGAACGTTTAGTTGAACACATAGTAGTCTGTGCCAGTCGGTGTACGGTTTTCAGGAAGTCAAATACGGCGAACGAAACCATAAATGGGGGGCTACGCAGTTTGGCAGGGCATGCACTCATATTGCGCCGGTTGAGGTTATGTCAGGTTGCTCGTTTGAGCCACAAATAACAAAAATTAGCTGGTGAACCGGTAGACCTCTACTTTAAAAAAAACAAATGCTATTCAATGGTGACCAGGCGTGGAAATGGAGTTGTTGACCTTTGCATGCTACCGATTTGATGTTAATTTAGTCGAACGGGTTTGAGGCTACGGGGTTTAATACGCTATGGAAGTATTGTCAATTAGTAGTTTATTTGTTCGAATAAGTCGACACCAATCAGAACGTGACGCAGACGAGTTTGACAATGTTTCATGTATTGCCATCAAGAAACCCACAATTTACTAGTCCAATTTCACGCTATCCTGCAAAGACCCCGCTCACTTCACTCTTCTCGGTCGGTGGCTGCACAATCGTTGTTGATAGCGGTTCAGTGGATAGTTTTGCTGGAATCAGCTTCCATCGTCAGGCATCGCTAAAAAATTGTATCCATCTAATAGCGAATTCGTCTATTATCGGAGTTGGAACCAGTTCTAACCCAGTGCGAAGCCGAACTTTTTGTCAGTGCGAACCTCAACCTGAGCTAGGTTTTAAAAACAAACGAGCAATCTGACGTTTGTCAGCAAACAAGCAGACCCAATCTTGATACCGGATTCAGGTTAGAACTGAATCAAAAACGCATTCGCTATAACGTCTATCCTTCGGAATTTCCCTAGCCTAAGGATTAGCATTCGGCATTCCTTGATCGAAGGTTGTTTCGTAAATTTGCTATGGGAATTGGCATTGAAGAGTGGTAAGCGTGACTGCCTCTCACTCCAAAGGGCTTGGGTTCAATCCCAGTCGATGCCGTCGGGATTTTCGGAATGGAAGTAAAGCCGTTGGTCCCCGGTTCATGAGTTGATGGGTCGATAGTTAGGGTCCAGGTGTGGGAGCTGCCTCCCTGGCGTCGGTAGCATTGGTACTCAGCACGGAAATCAAGATCGACGGAAAACAAATCAAGGAAAAAATATAAGGCAGTTCTACACCAAATGACGAATCGGAAAAAATCGACCTCCTCCGAATTGCATGAAACATTGCATTATTGTTTGTTATGAGCACATTTTCGCTATAATTCGGCGTCCTTAAAAAATTTCAAAAAATTGTAGCATGGAAGTTAACAAATGGACATTGATGTGTCCTCTTAGTAAGAAGGTCATGGCCTAACTTGATGTTGACTTGATATGAAACTGCATATATTAGTTACTTTTATGTGATCATTGTGTAACATGTTTCTCATTCTCCCTTTTAAAAAGATGTTACAGGGTGCTATTTGGGTTTCTTGAATGATTCATATATTTTTTAACTGAATTCTCTGAAGTTATCCAATGCTTTTCGAATTGAGTTCATACAAGCCCATGCCTTGCTGAGCTGATTCAACGTTTTTCAAAACGAGTTCAAATTTATCTGAAGTGATTCAAAATTTTTCCGATAATTTCTGAAGCGATTCCAAACTCTTCTAAAGTGAGTCAGTACTTTTAGAGCTGATTCCAAACATTTCTGAAATGATTCAGTTTTTTCCGAAGTCATTCTGAAAACATTTCTTTAGTGATTTAGTACTTTTCAAACTCAGAGATGAACCATCCAACGGCTGAAAGTCTCAATAATAAAAAAAAATTAATCATCAATCTTTTCAAAACTTATTCCGAATCTTTCAAAAGAGATTCAGTACTTTCCAAAGTGAATTAGAACTATTCAAAAGTGATTCAGTACTTTTATAAAAGATTCCGAGCCCTTCCGATAGGATTTAGTTCTATTAAATGTGATTCCGAACGTTTCCAATTTGATTCAGTACCTTTCGAAGCGATTTAGAAATTTCCTGAAGTAAATCAGTACTATCTTAAGTAATTCTGAATATTTATGAATTGATTCAGTACTTTCCGAAGGTATTATGAACATTTCTGAAATGATTAAGTTCCTTCCGAAGCGATTCCAAACTTTCCGAAAATGAATCAGTACTTTTCGAAGTCATTCCGAACATTTCTGAAGTGATTCAGCTTATTCCGAAGTCATTCGGAACATTTCTGAAGTGATTAAGTACTTTTCAAACTGTTTCTGAATTAAAAAAAAGATTCAGTACTTTCCAAATAGATTCGAATAGTGGCGCCCAAAAGGCCTGGGTTCAGTCCCAGTCGGCGCCGCTGGAATTTTCGGAGGCATAAAATATCTGATCACGCCTTCCTTCGGAAGGGAAGTAAAGCTGTTGGTCCCCGGTCCATGAGTTATTAGGTCGATAGGTAGGGTCCAGGTGTGGGAGCTGCCTCCCTGGCGTCGGTAGCATTGGTACTCAGTACGGAAAACAAGATCGACGGAAAAAAATTCAAGAAAAAACAAAATAGATTCGATTCCAAACGTTTCCAATGGGATTCAGTACTTTTCGAAGTGATTTAGAAATGTCCTGATGTGAATCAGTACTATCTTTAGTAACTTCGAACATTTCTGAAATGATTCAATTCGTTCCGAAGCGATTCCAAACTTTTCAAAAATGAATCAGTAGTTTTCGAAATGATTATGAACATTTCTGAAGGGATTCAGTACTTATCAAAGTGTTTCCGAATTTTTCAAAAGGGATTCAATACTTTCGGAAGTGAATTAGAACTATTCAGAAATGATTCAGTACTTTTCGAATAGATACCGAAAGCTTCTGAAGGGATTTAGTTCTTTTAGAAGTGATTCCGAACGTTTACAACGTGATTCAGTACTTTCCGAAGTGATTTAGAAATTTTCTGAAATGAATCATTTTTTTCTACGAAGTGATTCAGAATTAGTTTGAAGAGATTCAGTACTTTTCGAAGCGATTTAGAAATTTCCTGAAGTGAATCTGTACTATCATAAGTAACTCCAAACATTACTGAAGTAATTTGGTACTTTCCAAAGTGATTATGAACATTTCTGATTGATTCCAAACTTTTCGGAAGTGATTCATTAGCATAGGAAGTGAATCCGAATTTTGTTTCAAAGCAATTCAGCAATCTCCGAAGTAATTTAGAACATTTCTGAAATGATTGCGTACTTTTTGATGTGATTCCAAACATTATTGCAGTGATTCAGTACTTTCCGAAGTGATTCCTAACTTTTCTGAAAGTAAATCAGTACTTTTCGAAATGATTCCGAACATTTCTGAAGTGTTTTCCAACATTTCTGAAATAATTCAGTGCTGTCCGAAGGGATTCTGAATTTTTCAAAAGTAATTCAGCACTTTCTGAAGTTATTTAGAATTATTCTGAAGTGATTCAATGTTTCCTAAGTGATTCCGAACTTTTCTGAGCGCCATTGAAAATTCCAGCATTGTGAATGGTTCGTCAAGAGAACCGTTACTTCGGGCTGTATCCTGTACAGTCGGTTGTGCTGGGACAGAGTCTGGCTTGGGGAACTCAATATGACCCGTAGGGAGCTTAATTTTGAGAAAAAAGAGAGCTGAATTTCTGATAGGCCACCCTCCAATTCGATTCATAACCCTAAAATATGAACCTGTGCAAACATTGGGGAAGATTGGTGAAGTTTTAGAGGTCGCGCGAATGATTTGAACTTTGAGTGAGCGCTTAGTTCATTTAGAAGACATTCTTATCACTCAAAGTTCAAATCATTCGCGCGACCTCTAAACCTTCACCAATCTTCCCCAATGTTTGCACAGGTTCATATTTTAGGGTTATGAATCGAATTGGAGGGTGGCCTATCAGAAATTCAGCTCTTTTTTCTGAAAATGAAGCACCCTACGGGTCATATTGAGTTCTCCAAGCCAGACTCTGTCCCAGCACAACCGACTGTACAGGATACAGCCCGAAGTAACGGTTCTCTTGACGAACCATTCACAATGCTGGTATTTTCAATGGCGCTTCTTTCATCGAATAACTCTGCTCCGGGAAGCGATATGATCAAATTCGACCTTCTAAAAAACCTCCCCAATAGCGCTAAAAGTAGATTACTTAACCTGTATAATTCCTCTATGGAACTCAATATAGTTCCACCAGCATGGAGACAGGTTAAAGTAATAGCTATTCAAAAGCCTGGGAAACCAGCGTCTGATCACAATTCTTACTGTCCGATCTCTATGTTATCATGTCTGAGGAAATTAGAAAAAAAAGGATCCTATCAAGACTTGACAATTGGGTTGAATCAAACAACCTGCTTTCTTTCAAATACGCAATTTGGTTTCCGAAAAAGTAAAGAAACAAACGATTGTCTAGCGTTGCTTACATCGGATATTCAATTCTTTTTGGATATTAAGGGCGCATTTGATTCCGTTGCCATAGACATACTGTCAGACAGTCTGCACAGTAGTGGATTACCCGGTATTTTACATAATTTCTTGTATAATTTGCTGTCAGAAAAACAAATGACCTTCATTCAAGGTCTACTGACAACTTCTAGAATAAGCTACATGGGCTTACCCCAAGGTTCATGTTGAAGTCCCTTACTTTATAATTTCTATTTCAAAGATATTGATAACTGCTAAGATAATCTTAGAAGACCCTCTAACTACCGGGTAGATCCGAGAACTTCCCAAATAATCCGAGAATTTCCCAGAAGATCTCAGAAATTCTAAAAAAAAATCTTAGAAGATCCGAGTACTTCCCAGAAATTCTGAGAGCTTTTCAGAATTTTAGAGAGCTTCCCATAAGTTCCGAGAATTTCTAAGAAGATCTGAGAACTTCCTAAAAAATCCGAGCATTTACATCAGATTTTAAAATCTTCCCATAAATTCCAACAGTTTTCCAGAAGTTCCATAATCTATCCAGAAGATTCAAGAACTTCGCATAAATTCCGAG